TCTCTCTCTCACTCTCACTCTCTCTCGTTCCGTCCTCCTTTCAGACGCCCTCCTTCTCTCGCGACGTCGATCTCCGACTCAACTCAGGGAACTGTTAGGCCATCCTCCAGCAAGCCTTGAGCTCGACTAACCCACCCTTAGTCAAAATCCTAAGTACCAAATCAGACACCCCAAACTCGGAAATCCGAGACCTCCAACATCGCAACTCCAAAGCTCAAAAAGAGCAAGATCAATTCAATTTAACCCTGTACGACATGCCCGGGACCCAAACTGAAGACAGCAAAATCCGCCTTGGCGCTTGAGTTTGGGGTTTGGGGCTTTGGGGGCTTCGGGTTTAGAGTTTGAGGTTTGGGGTTTAGGGTTCGTTGTTGAGGGTTAGGCCCTGAATTCTTTGGGTTGCGGGTTTAGGTACCATGGCCCTTTTCTGAACCCAGACTTTGCCAGTCAGAACCCTAAACCCTAAACCCTAAAAGTTTAGAGACGTCGAATCAACTCAAGCCCCGTATACCCGATGCCCTAATAAAGGGGCACCACTACTGCTGATAGCACTTTGGCGTTATCTTATAGCATGACTATGACAGGGACTGTAAGGATATGCGTGTACATAGAGAGAGAGAGAGAGAGCGAGAGAGCACAAAATGAAATGAAATACATAAGTAGATCTGTATATATATATATATATACAAATTTAGTTGTTCATCTCTACATAACGTTATGTAACGGACCTGTAACATAATACACATGTGGGTGGTTGTCAAAATTAGCGTCCCTTTTTGGGTCCTTATTATAATACGGCACCTATTATTTAGGGTACCCCAAAAGGGACCATAATTTTGACAACCACCCATGTATACTTACGACCCCTATACTACGCACCCGCGCCTCCGGTTGCAAATTCGTCGTCCCCATGCGAAAACTGACATTCTGCAAGCCGACCTCGCAATTTAGGGTCTAGGGTTGATAGGGTTTAGGGTTTAGGGTTTGGGGTCTAGGGTTGATAGGTTTACTTCAGCCTAGCAAAACCTACCTTGTGGTCAGGCCCTATAATTCCATACTAGGTTGAGAAAGAAACTGCCTACAAAACAATAGGTAAGGGTAGTTGTGAATAAGGTCTAGGGGCTAAGGTTTCAGTTTAAGCCTTAGGGCCAGGTTTAGACATTTGGGGCTTGGGGGTTGATGAGCAGGGCTTTTTAGGTGTTCAGGATTTGGGGTTTCGGGTTCAGGGTTTGGGGTTTGCTGTGCAGGGTTTCCATAGGGTTAACGGTTTCATAAGTAGTCGCAGTAAGTCGTGTTACCCCTAAACCCTAAACCCTAAACCCTAAACCCTAAACCCTAAACCCTAAATCCTAAACCCTAACTTACCCTTCGGGCTCCTCTCCGCCGTGCGGTTCCTCTTGCGGCCGTCGTTCCCCCATGGCTGGCTTTAGGGTCTAGGGTCTAGGGTCTAGGGTCTAGGGTCTAGGGTTTAGGGTTTAGGGTTTAGGGTTTAGGGTGAAAACTTCGACTGGAAACTCTTTGGTGGGGGCTCGTTCGCCATTCTTTTCGGGAGAGCGCTGATCACTCTAAACCCCACAACCCTAGAGCGACCATCAAACCAGCAAAAACCGCATAAACCCTCAAATCCGAAACCCTAACAGCCTTAAAACCCTGAACCCTGAAAGCCCTTAAACCGCAAACCAAAAACCGCTAGAAACCTTGAACCCCCACGACCCTAAACCATAAACCACAAAGCCGTAAAACCCCAAACCCTACGTAAAACCCTGCACCCCAAAACCTTGGAAAAAAACCGTTAAAACCCGAAAACCCCTAAACCAACCGCTCCTCGTAGAGTCCACAACTAAGAAAAACACACACACACACACACACACACACACACTTACTTGCCAAGAGATGGCAGTAAAACCTCCTGATTGCGAAGTGTAAACCTTGAAATAAACAAATTCTGGATCAATAAGGGTTTAAGTCTTCTCCTAAGGCTTTTGAGAGGCTGTGGGTGCACTCCACATCGCCGCACCCAAAAGCCAGTCTCCGAACGCCCGGTACCCCAGACTGGCTTTAATTTCAGTGTTTTGGGGTTTAGGGCTTTGTTTTTAGGGTTGTGGCATCTAGGGTGTAGGGTTTAGGTTTAGGACTTGTGGCTTCTTGTGGTTTAGGGTTTCGGGTACCTGAACTGTCTGACTGCCCCTCAACCACTTCGACAGCTGGGTGTGGGGTGTTGGGGTGTTCTACCTGCCGGCTCTGGTTGAGATGTTTCTCGCAATGACGACTGATTAACAAGCGACCTAGACAGAAGCTACGTGACCTAGACAGGAGAATGGTTCAGAACTAAAGTCAGAATGTTAAAGGATCCTACCAAGACTTTGTCGGGTTTGGGATTAATCCTCCGCCCTCCTGCAGCCCCAGCGGCATTCGGACTCGCGATGCCAAGAACGGGTGGCCCGAAGCGAGCCACGAGACCCACCTGGGAGTGATCGGCTCGAGCACCCAGTCCACGTTCAGAGTTTAGGACTTAGGGGTTTAGGGGTTGAGGGTTTTAAGTTTTAGGGTTTAGGGTTCAAGTTAGGGTTTCGAGGCTCACGCTCGGACAATCCAAGCAAGGCACATGACAACAAGTCCATCCCAAGTCCAAGTGAAACGACATGTGGCACCTACCCTGATGCTAAAACCTCCTACAAAAACCCGTGGATAAGCCCACAATCTGAAACGATTAAGACCATTCTCCAAAAAAACGAACAAACACCTCTCTCTCTCTCTCTCTCGCGGACTCAGAACAACCCTAAACCCTAAATCCTAAACCCTAAACCCTTAAATCAAGA